AATTTGCTGTCCCCTCAAAATAACTCAACACACCGCCATTAATGTCTAAACTGCTGGCAACAAAAGTGAGTACACCCCTAAGTGACAATGTCCAAATTGGGCCCAGAGTGTCAATATTTTGTGTGGCCGCCATTATTTTCCAGCACTGCCTTAATCCTCTTGGCCATGGAGTTCACCAGAGCTTCACAGGTTGCCACTGGAGTCCTCTTCCACTCCTCCATGATGACATCACGGAGCTGTTGGATGTTAGAGACTTTGCGCTCCTCCACCTTCCGTTTGAGGATGCCCCACAGATGCTCAATAGGGTTTAGGTCTGGAGACATGCTTGGCCAGTCCATCACCTTTACCCTCAGCTTCTTTAGCAAGGCAGTGGTGGTCTTGGAGGTGTGTTTGGGGTCGTTATCATGTTGGAATACTGCCCTGTGACCCTGTCTCTGAAGGGAGGGGATCATGCTCTGCTTCAATATGTCACAGTACATGTTGGCATTCATGGTTCCCTCAATGAACTGTAGCTCCGCAGTGCCGGCAGCACTCATGCAGCCCCAGACCATGACACTCCCACCACCATGCTTGACTGTAGGCAAGAAACACTTCTCTTTGTACTCCTCATCTGGTTGCCGCCACACACGCTTGACACCATCTGAACCAAATCAGTTTATCTTGGTGTCATCAGACCACAGGACATGGTTCCTGTCATCCATGTCCTTTGTCTGATTGTCTTCAGCAAACTGTTTGCTGGATTTCTTGTGCATCATCTTTAGAAGAGGCTTCCTTCTGGGACGACAGCCATGCAGACCAATTTGATGCAGTGTACAGCGTATGGTCTGAGCACTGGCAGGCTGACCCCCCACCCCTTCGACCTCTACAGCAATGCTGGCAGCATTCATACATCTATTTCCCAAAGACAACCTCTGGGTATAACGCGGAGCACGTGCACTCAACATCTTTGGTGGACCATGGTGAGCCTGTTCTGAGTGGAACCTGTCCTGTTAGACTGCTGTATGGTCTTGGCCACCATGCTGCAGCTCAGTTTCAGGGTCTTGGCAATCGACTTTTGTTGCCAGCGGTTTAGACATTAATGGTTTAGACATTAAGCTGTACACTCACTACGTCACATTGTAGCAAAGTGTCTATATATATATACAGTTGCAAGAAAAAGTATGTGAACCCCTTGGGATTACGTGGAGTTTTGCATGAATTGGGCATAAAATGTGCTCTGAACGTCATCTAAGTCACAACAATAGAAGAACACAGTCTGCTGAACATAATACTACACAAACATTAGATGTTGCCATGGTTTAATTGCACATAACATGTAAACATTCAGAGTGCAGGGAGGAAAAAGTATGTGAGGCCCTAGCTTAATGACTTCTCCCAGAGCTAATTGGAGCCAGGAGTGAGCCAACCTTGACTCCAATCAGTGTGATGATATTGGATGTGTTGCTGACAGCTGTCCTGCCCTTAAAAAACACACACACACCTGTTTTGGGTTCACTGGTTTCAAGAAGCACTGTCTGATGTGAACCATGCCTCGCAGAAAAGAGCTCTCAGAAGACCTACGATCAAGAATTGTTGACTTGCATGAAGCTGGAAACGGTTACAAAAGTACCTCCAAAAGCCTTGATGTTCATGTGTCCACGGTAAGACAGACTGTCTACAAATGGAGAAAGTTTAGCACTGTTGCTACTCTCCCTAGGCGTGGTCGTCCTGTAAAAATGACTGCAAGAGCACAGCGCAGAATGCTGCATGAGGTAAAGAAGAATCCCAGAGTGTCAGCTAAAGACCTACATAAATCTCTGGCACGTGCTAACATTTTTGTTGACACATCTACAATAAGGAAAACATTAAACAAGAATGGAGTACATGGGAGGACACCACGGAGGAAGCCATTGCTGTCCAAAAAGAATATTGCAGCTCGTTTGAAGTTTGCAAAAGAGCACCTGGGTGTTCCACAGCACTACTGGCAAAATATACTGGTGGACAGATGAAACCAAGATTGAGTTGTTTGGGAAGAACACACAACACTATGTGTGGAGAAAAAAAAGGCACAGCACACCGACATCAAAACCTCATCCTCACTGTAAAACATGGCGGAGGGAGCATCATGGTTTGGGGCTGCTTTGCTGCCTCAGGGCCTGGACGGATTGTTGTCATTGATGGGAAAATGAATTCCAGAGTTTATCAAGACATTTTGCAGGAAAACGTACGACCATCTGTCCGCCAACTGAAGCTCCGCAGAGGATGGGTGATGCAACAGGACAATGACCCAAAGCATACAAGTAATTCAACAAAACAATGGCTGCAACAGCACAGAATACGCCTTCTGGAGTGGCCCAGTCAGAGTCCTGACCTCAACCCGATTGAAATGCTGTGGCATGACCTTAAGAGAGCGATTCACACCAGACATCCCAAGAATATTGCTACACTGAAACAGTTTTGTGAAGAGGAGTGGTCCAAAATTACTCCAGATCGTTGTGCAGGTCTGATCTGCAACTACAGGAAACGTTTGGTTGAGGTTATTGCTGCCAAAGGAGCGTCAACCAGTTATTAAGTCCAAAGGTTCACATACTTTTTTCTCCCTGCACTGTGAATGTTTACATGTTATGTGCAATTAAACCATGGCAACATCTAATGTTTGTGTAGTATTATGTTCAGCAGACTGTGTTCTTCTATTGTTGTGACTTAGATGACGTTCAGAGCACATTTTATGCCCAATTCATGCAAAACTCCACGTAATCCCAAGGGGTTCACATACTTTTTCTTGCAACTGTATATATATATATATATACACATTGTATACAGTCCAGAGGAGGGGTGGACACACTTCTGTGAGATACTGTACATAAATAAATGCTGATCGTGGTAAGCACCCCTGCCAGTGGCAAATGGTTTGTTTCATCCCTGTAACTGCAAGTGAGCTTGTTCGGTTGAAAAACCACAGACCTACTCGCTGGATTGCCAGGTGAAAACAGAAGAAAGCAAACCTTAACAAAGAAAACTAATGCAGCCATCACATCTAAGAATTGGTAAGCTGCAATATAATAAAATGTTTGCTTTTGGATTTAATACTGCTTTAAAGAGGTTGGGTCTCGTAAAGGGTATGTCCACTTAAAGATTAAGCTCGCCTGTACCAATATACCTCTGTTGCAGAGAAGAAAAAAAAGCTTTCTATAAAGTAAGAACTAGGAAACTGAGTAGTAAATGATGGTATGGTGATGAGGGAGGTGTGGTCCACAGAAGTAAAACACGCCCTATTCTGTGAAGCAGAAAGCCAGTGCATGATGGGATATGAAGTTTCATGGATGGTCACATGATGCTATAGGAAGTGACAGGCTCAGATGCATTTTTTTTTTATTTTTTAACAGAGAGGTGCAGATTTAAAGCTGCCATGGACTTGGTAAGTGAGAGAAGAGCACATTGGGATGGCTTGAGCAGAAAAGACATTAGAAAAGATATTTAACATGAAAGTGAAATTCTGCTTGAAAAGGTGAACTTAGCCTTTAATATGGGTTGTAATTTTGGGTATGCCCAAATAATAAAAAGGGTGTTAGACATAAAGGGAATGTTGACCAACAGAGAGACATATTGGTCTAAGGAGGATGTCTACCATGTGCAACTGGACACAATACATGGGGTGACCTCCATTATCCATTTACCCCTTCATATACAAAGGTAGAGAAGGGATTCTTCTATAGGTCTCTGCTCTAAACTGAGACTACTACCTGCAGCACAATACAAGATGGTTTCCATGTCAAATGGACAACCCTTTTAAGAGAGGAAATTATGGCAAACAAAAATCTGTTCAGCAAATGTAAAAAGATGGGGAAAGCCATACTTGGCCTGGAGGATTTCAAGTCTACCGAAAACCCATATTCCGTTAAAATGATATCCAAAGTAAAAGCAGATGCCTGCTAAAGTCCAGGTCCACCTAAAGAGATACTTGGCTATGTCCAAAAATGTCTCATGCTGTCCCCTCCACCCCTACTGGAGCCTAGACCATTATCCGATTGCCCACCAGATACTGGTAAAATGCACCATCTAGGTAAGTGAAACAGAGGCTAGAATATCTGGCTGGCAACTCTATAAGTTGAAACTCCTCCCCCTCCCATTGTGTACACAAGAGGAACCACTATCCTACAGGGATCTAGAAAATAAAAGTGTACAGTCCTTTTTATTGGGAAAATCTGCAGCCTCAGAGGATGAATGAAGGATGAATTGGGTCTATTCGGTGATGGTGACGGTGGACAAAATGCAGACGGAGGGTCCCGTTTACGTTATAGTTTTCCGGTGGGTCTGTACGTGCTTGAACAGGGCATCTTTCCTCAGGAAGCACTTCCCGCACTCTGAGCAGGTGTAGGCCTTCTCCCCCCCATGTATTTGCTCATGCTTAATAAGGTTGGAGGCACCACTGAAGCATTTCCCACAGACAGAGCAGGAGTAGGGTTTCTCGCCTGTGTGAATGCGCCGGTGGATAACCATGTGCGAGTTGGTGATGAAACCTTTGCCACAGTCAGGGCAGGTGTATGGCTTTTCACCTGCGTGAATACGGCGGTGGATGTCCAGGTGGGATTTGCTGGGGAAGCACTTGCCGCACTCTGGGCAGCCATAGGGCTTATCGCCCGTGTGGGTCCTCTGGTGGCGGTCAAGGTGGGACTGGCTGACAAAGTCCTTCCCGCAGTCTTGGCAAGTGTAAGTCTTTTCCCCAGTGTGGCTTCTCAGGTGGACGAGAAGCTGGGGCCCGCTTATGAATGATTCCCCACACTCCGGACAGGTGTTGGGCTTCTCCCCGGTATGGATCCTCTGGTGGTAGATCAGGTTGGCCTGGCTCTTCAGCTCCTTGCCACACACTAAGCATGTGAACGGTGTGTCCTTTGTGTGGACACTCTGGTGAGCACGGAGGCTGGAGCTGGTAGGAAAGCCCCTACCACACTCCGGGCAAGGGAATGGGCGCTCCCCAGTATGGCTCCGCTCGTGAACTGTGAGGTGGGACTTCTTGACGAAAGACTTCCCACACTGGTCGCAGGCGAATGGTTTGTCACCCGTGTGGCGCTTTTTGTGCTCTCGCAGGCTGGGCTTGCTGGAAAAGTACTTCCCACACTCCAAACACGGGTGCGGCTTTTCCCTGGTATGGACTCTCTGGTGCTTAATTAGGGTTGAGTTGCTGGCAAAGGCCTTTCCACACTCCTTGCATGCAAAGCGCTTCTCCGCTGTGTGAGCCCTCTGGTGCTTTACAAATTTCCGGCTGTTGCTGAAGCTTTTTCCACAGATGGGGCAGATGGCAGTCATCTCCTCTGTCGTGGCCCCCCCAGACCTCTTCGGCCTGCCCGCGACATGATTTGGCAGCCGTGGTAAACACTTAGTGTGTGCACTTTTGTGAACATTCGCTCCCTCATTTGAAAGGGGCTCATCCTTAATCTGAACTAATAAAATTTCTGATTGATCGGTGTCATCGTCAGACAACTGTCCCTCATCTGTTAAGTGAGGTGTCTCTGCAACACTCACAGACGTAGCTTTTGTGCAAGGCCTTGAAGTGGTAACATCTGAGGGTGAGGAGTGTTCCTCACTCGAGGAAAGGTCTTCCTTTATGATGATTGACAAGCTTTCTGTATCATCCATGGATGGGGAAAGGTCACTTTGAGAGAGTAGCTCGTCACTTGAAAGAGGTTCCTGTTTGATGAAAGCCGATATATCATGCTCACCATCCATTGTGATAGAAAAGTCACTTTCTGGAAAGTGCTCTTCACTTGAGGTTGATTCTTCTTTCACAATAACCAGTGTCTTTTTTTTCTCAATAGAGGCCAAAAGGTCACTTGGTGAGGGATGATCACACATGAGGGTGTCGTCTTTAACAGCGGCAGGTCTATTTTGGCTGTTGTCCATGGATGCAGACCTCTTAGGCCGCGAGAGCTGCTCACCACCCACATGCGTAAATGGAGGTTGCTTATGACCTGTGGACCTAGACATCCCGGCATGGGGCTAATCTTTCATAGAGGTGGAAGCACTGAAACTTGGGATATCTCTTGTCTTCCCACAAGAAAAAGCCCAAAAATCTGTGGAGGAGAAACAACAATTTTAAGTTCAGTTATCCAACTTCCATGATCAGCCACTCCTCCCCACCATGCTTTCCAAACATACAAATTTCAAAACTTGTATTTTTGGAATAGACTGACATAAAACCAACTTCAAGTATGGGCAGACTGGCTTTGGTACCCACCACGGACCCAGCTATATCATCATCTGTAGGACTTGTACCTGTTATAGTTGTCCATATCTGCTCCCACAAGGCCACCTCAGTTTGCCAACATCAATTTACAATGGGCCTGGCCTTGCTCTCTCCTGCTTAGACTATGGGGAATCAGTAGGAGGCAAATCTCTGGACAGCTACAACCAATGGGGGGCTCAATATATTCACCCAAGAGACACATAACAAAAATTAAAACTTGTTCACAACTGCGCGAATCCTACTGGAATTCAGGTTTGAATTTTGCCTATCGAGATGAGATTACAGAATACTGTAGACCAGGGTTCTTCAAACATTTTAAACAAAGGACCAGTTTACTGTCCTTCAAACTTTAGGGGGGGGGGGCAGACTGTGGCCATCAGGCCTGATGAAAGGGTAGAAGGTCACATGCTTCTCCATGTACAGTACTTTCCATGGCTTCGGCAGTCAAGTGAATGTGACTGAAGGGCGATCAATGAAGCCTGTTCCTCGCCACCTTTTGTGATCAAACCTCCAGTATCATTTACTAGCCCTTCCCCCCTCAAACAATTACGGAAAAAGTAGCCAGACCTATTCCCTGACATTGAGATACTCTGAGGATGTGCCTATCTAGAAGACTGACCAGAGTTCCTCTACGACAGTGGTTCTCAATCTTCCTAATGCCGCGACCCTTTAATACAGTTCCTCATGTTGTGGTGACCCCCAACCATAAAATGATTTTCGTTGCTGCTTCATAACTGTAATTTTGCTACTATTATGAATCGTAATGTAAATATCTGATATGCAGGATGTATTTTCAATAGTTCCTTCTGTGATTGTACGAGAACATTTTTGTGCCTGTCCCTTTGGATATTTTTGCATGAACTGTCATGACCAGCCCTTGACAGCGGAGTACTAATAATCAGATTATCAGAAAGCGTTTTCATTTTGCGCCCTGGTCAATCGACTGAAGGAATTTGATGGGAACTGAAGTTAATCAGATTGCCATTTGGATCTGATAGTAAAATTGAAGTGTGTACGGCCAGTATCCCCCCCTTCCCCTCAGGGATATCAGCCCTCTCCCACACCAAGTTGTCTGTCCTGAGGCTCCTTGTATGACCCTGGAAAGTTTGGGATTGCTGGTCGCTGTGTACTTCGCTCTAGCGGGCCGTGTGCCCCGGTGCCAGCCCTCGTACAAGTGCAGTAAGGAGAAGCCTCCGTGGGAGGTGAGCGGCTGTAGGGCACACGCTCTGCGGGTAACCAGATCCCCCCTCCCGAGGCAAAGGGGGGCCTGGCTCACATATATCCAGCTGTTGTGAGCAGCTGCCCACCCGGGTAAACATGCATCAGGTGCAAGGGCAGCCAATGGGCGGCAGCGGGGCACTTTCGACCCACCCCTTGTAGGGGAGGAGCCTCCAGCCTGGCCAGATGCTCATATCGCACAGGGAGCACGCCAGTCAGTGTGCAGGTGTTAGTTCAGCATGAAAGGCTCGCAGCAAGCCGGGAGTGCGGGACACCCTGCCGAGCCCCTCCGGCCGCCCTCACCACTACCTCATAGAGTCTATCTACATGTGGGCGGACTCGCCTGGAGACGGTTCCTAAGACCATCGGAAATATGTGTTTCCTGATGGTCTTAGGCGACCCCTGTGAAAAAGTTGTTCGACCCCCAAAGGGGTCACGACCCACAGGTTGAGAACCGCTGCTCTACGACTCCAAGAGGAAGAAGCTGAAAGTTCCTCATTGCTCCATATCTGCCACCCAATCCAGAAGTCACCTCTCCAGTTAGCTCTGTTCTTTATTAATAGAGATAAGAGTGATGTCGTGTGACCTCCCAGAATCCTCCTCACCTCTATGGTCAGGTCTGTTTTATTAATAGAAATGAGTGATGTCATGTGACTTCCCAAAATCCTCCTCACCTCTCCAGTCAGATCTGTGTTTTATTAAAAGAGATGAGTGATGTCATGTGACCTCCCAGAATCCTCCTCACCTCTCCAGTCAGGTCTGTGTTTTATTAATAGAGAGAAGAGCGATGTCATGTGACCTCCCAGAATCCTCCTCACCTCTCCGGTCAGGTCTGTTTTAATAGAGAGAAGAGCGATGTCATGTGACCTCCGAAAATCCTCCTCACCTCTCCGGTCAGGTGTTTTTATTAATAGAGAAAGGAGTGGTCATGTGACCTCCCAGAATCCTCCTCACCTCTCTCCGGTCAGGTCTGTGTTTTATTAATAGAGATGAGAGTGATTTCATGTGACTTCCCAGAATCCTCACCTCTCCGGTCAGATCTGTGTTTTATTAATAGAGAGAAGAGCGATGTCATGTGACCTCCCAGAATCCTCCTCACCTCACCGGTCAGGTCTGTTTTATTAATAGAGATAGGAGTGATGTCATGTGACCTACCAGAATCCTCCTCACCTCTCTCCGGTCAGGTCTGTGTTTTATTAATAGAGATAAGAGTGATGTAATGTGACCTTCCAGAATCCTCCTCACCTCTCCGGTCAGGTCTGTGTTTTATTAATAGAGATGAGAGTAATGTCATGTGACTTCCCAGAATCCTCCTCACCTCTCCAGTCAGATCTGTGTTTTATTAATAGAGATGAAAGTGATGTCATGTGACCTCCCAGAATCCTCCTCACCTCTCCAGTCAGGTCTGTGTTTTATTAATATAGATAAGAGTGATGTCATGTGACCTCCCAGAATCATCCTTATCTCTCTGGTCAGGTCTTTGACCTATCGTGGACGAGGCTGTCCGGATGGCATAGGTTGACGGTGGAAATTTACAACCGCCTCATGAAAAATGTGTTGCCGCTCACTGCGTTTTCTGTCTCTGGAAGGTCTGGGGTTGTTCCAATGCTGCGCCCATGATGGAACACCGCACATGATCAGGGAGGGAACGTCACAGCGCCTCTCCATGGTAAAACTTTGCTAACACCAGAATTGCCCCGTGGGCTCCTCGAATGCATGGATGCATTACGAGTTTTAAGCGTAAGTCTCTGCGCCGACGTTCTCCCTTTCGCCAGTCAGCACATAGTCAGGGAGGGTGTCAGGCTGCAGTCACATTCTGCAATTTCAGACATCACTCCCCAGCCACAATGATGGCCTGCGCAAACCCTCCCTCCACTTAAAGGAGACAACCCCCCATCATGCAGCACGCAAAACTCACCTGCCGGCTCTTCTGCCTGTGCACCCTTTATTTCCCTCCCCCCGGGGGTGGCTCCAAGCACACACGCTGCCGCAGCGTTGATTTTCTGCCACTTCCGAATATTTTCCCTTGACCATAATGGCCGCCGAGGGAGCGGAAATGAATGGAGAAACTTCCGGCGTGTGGAACGCAAGCCGGAGGGAAGTAAGTCGGCTGGAAGAATTCTGCACTGCCCGGGCCGACCGAGGTGAGAGACTCCGAGGAGGCTCAAAAGGGCGAGCACGTGAAAGCGGCTCATGAATATTCTGCAGCTCATTAATATTCAGGAGGCTCCACATTTCTGGGAGGGTCAGCTAATCCATGATAACACCTGCTTCATTATTCAGGAGGTGGGAGGAGCTAAACAGAGAGAGGGGCATGGCTGGTGGTAATTGACTGGAACACCCCGTTCACGTCGGTGCGACTTGGCATGCCCTGCGACTTGCAAATCGCATGTCAAGTCGCACCCTATGGTTCGCAATTGCAGTGGTCATATATTTTTTTTTTTAATATACAATATTTTGATATAATATTTAATATATATCATATATTATTATATATATTATTATATAGTAATATATATTTATTATATATATTTTTATATTTCATATATAAAATATATATTTAATAATTAATATATATAATATAATAATAATTATTTATTAAAAATATAATTTAGATAATCAATATATAATTGATATATATATTCATTAAATATTTAATATCGTTTATACTGTATATAATTATTTAATTTATATATATTTTTATTAAATATTTCAATAAGACAATTTATATATAATTCAAGTTTTACTAAACCCACAACAGTGCAATCAGTCTGTAGATGCAGTAAAGCATGCTTGTTATACTCTCTGTGGGACCTAAGGGGTTAATTCTCCGCATTGTGTAAAAAAGGCTGTTTGATCCTGTCTTCTCTGCCCCTCCTTTTGTTTAAATGACCACCTGATACAGAATGAATCCGTGGTCACATGCACATGCTCAGTTCGGTGTGTATTGTTAGAGAGGTTTCACCATCAGCACAGGGCCAGTCAGCACTGTCCAGACAGAGGGTCAGGGGTTTCACATCCTCCTAGAACAGAAAGAAAACTCCTCCTACAAGCTTTAACCAGTGCTCTGCTGAAGTCACAAGACTGCTCTATACTGCTGATGAGAAAAGGTATTTAGCAGTTTATATTTACTAAAATAATTGCATTTCCATGTTGTGTGTACTGTGGGAGACCAGATATAGTGAATGCGGGGTCCTGGGAGACCAGATATTGTGAATGCGGGGTCCTGGGAGAGCGGATATAGGGAATGCAGGGTCCGGGGAGAGCGGATATAGTGAATGTGGGGTCCAGGGAGAGCGGATATAGTGAATGCGGGGTCCGGGGAGACCGGATATAGTGAATGCGGGGTCCAGGGGGACCGGATATAGGGAATGCAGGGTGCGGGGAGAGCGGATATAGTGAATGTGGGGTCCGGGGAGAGCGGATATAGTGAATGCGGGGTCTGGGGAGAGCGGATATAGTGAATGTGGGGTCCGGGGAGAGCGGATATAGGGAATGCGGGGTTCGGGGAGAGCGGATATAGTGAATGCGGGGTCCTGGGAGACCAGATATTGTGAATGCGGGGTCCTGGGAGAGCGGATATAGGGAATGCAGGGTCCGGGGAGAGCGGATATAGTGAATGTGGGGTCCGGGGAGAGCGGATATAGTGAATGCGGGGACCAGGGGGACCGGATATAGGGAATGCAGGGTCCGGGGAGAGCGGATATAGTGAATGTGGGGTCCGGGGAGAGCGGATATAGTGAATGCGGGGTCTGGGGAGAGCGGATATAGTGAATGTGGGGTCCGGGGAGAGCGGATATAGGGAATGCGGGGTTCGGGGAGAGCGGACATAGTGAATGCGGGGTCCGGGGAGAGCGGATATTGTGAATGCAGGTTCCGGGGAGAGCGGATATAGTGAATGCAGGGTCAATATAATAAATAACCATATACTTATATAATTAATATATATTAATTTAATATTTATTTATTAATATATATATATATATATTTTTTTTTTTTTTTTTTTTTTCTTTACATAATGAATTTACATGAATATTTCATTAATATAATTCATTTATAATAAATATATATTCATTGACTATTTAATATAATTTTTATATATTTGCATAATGAATATACATTTAATGAATATTTCATTAATACAATTTATATATAATTAATATATAGTCACAAAATATTTAGTTAATCAAATTTAAATATACTTATATAAATGAATATATATTTATTTAAATGTTAATTTATATATATATATATATATATATATATATAAAAATGCAAAATTTTATAAGAAAAACACTTTTTTTTCAAAATTTTGGGACGTTTTCATTTATATAGCAGAAAAAAAAAATCCCAGCGGTGAATAAATATCACCAAAATAAAGTTTTATCTGTCTCAAGAAAATGCTAAAAAATTCATCTGGGTACAGTGTTGCATGACCGCGCAATTGTCATTCAAAGTGTGATAGCGCTAAAAGCTAAAATTGGCCTGGACTGGAAGGGGTGAAAGTGTCCGGACTTGAAGGGGTTAAGGATTTAAGGGAAATTCCACATTAAAGGAGAACTCCACGTTGTCATCCAAAAATAATAAAATGTCACACCTACCGGTACTTTGTGTAACTGGTGATATTTTTTTTTTTTAACTGACATTGTCCAAGGGTTTCTGATTCCGCTGTTTTGTGGGCAGGGCTTTCATGAAAGCGTGCACTGCAGAGAAGGGGGGGGGGGCATGGCGTTGGTTGTCCAGGAGGTCAGTGGTCTCTTCCCAGTGGGGCTTCAACAGCCATGGGAATGTCCACCAACCTGGAGGAATAGGTGAGGCTAGGAGGTCACAGCAAATCGAGGAAGTGTAAAAAGGAGACAGGCAGGCCTTTTATGGCAGAATAGACATGCAATGTTCTATTGGCAATCCTCTGAAGAATGTATACTGAGCTGCGTATGCACAGACATCATCCCGTGCGCAGACGTCATCCTGTGCGCAGACGTCATCCCATGCGCAATGTCATCCCATGCGCAATGTCATCCCGTGCGCAGACGTCATCCCATGCACAGACGTCATCCCATGCACAGACGTCATCCCGTGCGCAGACGTCATCCCGTGCGCAGACATCCCATGCACAGACGTCATCCCGTGCGCAAACATCATCCCGTGCCGGCTATTCAAAATGATGGAAGACTGGTACCTGGAAGAACCCTGGGAGAAGATGCCAGTGAAGGACTTCACAGACTGTTGGAACCAAGGTAAGTATGTGTGCCCTTAGTTCTGCTTTAAACACAGTAGGGAGTACCTGTCTTGACTCCTGTATTCCTGAGACACCCCCACACCCTTGCATCACATACACACAGGGGGTGACAACACTTTTCCTATCCTATTTTACAAACTGCCTTCCACCACCTTTCTTCAATCTGAAAAGAATGGAGATTCATATGGAACACAGTTGTTACCCTAATTTCTCCAAAACTCACAAGTTGGCAACAAAACCATCAATGATCTTATGTCTGGGGCCGGACAGTGAACTGATGCGTTTCTGACAGTTCCCACTAAAACAACCAGCTCAAGCAGATGAAGTTGAATAAACTGTACTTAGCCTGGGGTTTTCACAGCCTCAAAAGATTTATAGTTACGCCTCATGTCATCAAATCTCAAGCAGAGCCCTCAACAGACTGTAAGGGATCCTGGTCATCGTTGGCTAGATGCTGTAAACCGCCATTAGGCCGAAGACTGCTAACAGCTGTTGTAAAACAGTCTAGAGCAAGGGTGTCAAACTGTGGCCCTCCAGTTGTTGCCAAACTACAAGTCCTATGAGGCACTGCATGATTGACAGTTACAAGCATGACTCCCAAAGGCAGATGGGACATGATGACACCCTTGGTCTAGTGTACTAGGCATTATCCTAACCTCATTCCATCCCAATCTATTCCAGCACTGAACAAGGATGAAAATGTTGGCATTTACATACAATGAGTCAAAGTGAATATGTGCCAAAGTATCAGCACCAAATCCAACTAATCTATTCCTTCTAGTCTCCCTATCACGTACCTGGTGATGGAGGCCAATGGAGAGAGGGCTTCCCTTGCGGCTAAGTTCCGGACTCTCCTGAGAGTGGGACAGTGGGATTCTGGCCCAAAGTTGCACAGGTCGCCTGTAGGAGTGCTGGTTGGTGGTCCACTCAGAAGCACAGCTGGTGCACGGAGATAGGTCTGCAGACAGGAAGCGCCTCTGCGTGGTATGTAAGCACTTCCGGGATTTAGATGTTTCATATTTGGTATGCTGGTTCTCACGGAAAGGGTCTTTATCTAAGCTGTTGAGATGGAAGCCCCATTCTTGGCTTTATGGTCTCCAGAGTATAACATCGAGATGCAGATGATAGGAGAACTATTAGGAAGCTTATAAATGTTTTGGTGTGCTGAAGATGCTTCTGAAACTGGTTTGAGGAGACCACATCTGGTATGTGTTGATATCCAGTTCAGTCTTGCTATAAATGGATCACTGTGGTCAAAGCAAAAATAACCTTTCTATAGACCCCACTTTTTCTTGTAAATGACCCTCTTGAAATGGAGACCCTTCTTCTTTTTGGAGATCCTTACTTGCAAACATACCCTTCTTTCTTCTCATTCCTCTTGTACCAAAATTGTATTGTAACTGTAATGTCTGCCTTAATTTTTTAAAGCACTGCTCAAAACTGTTGGCACTATATAAATCCTGTATAATAATAATAATTTCCAGGAGGCATTGCCTGAAATCTGCAAATAAGAACCAAAGAGAGCGCACCAACCTTGCGCATTACCTCAGCAATACAAACATTTTCTCAAAATAAGATGTGTACTCACAAATGTAGCAATATTAAAAGTGTTTAGTATCCAAGAGTAGATCATAGGAGATCAAGTCAAGCCAATCTCTCAGACAGGGAGATTCTCATAAAAGGCTGACACGTTTCGAAGAGAGATCCCTTCTTTCTCAGAGCCCTTCAAAATGCATCAGCCTTTCTTGAGAGTCTCCTTGTCTGTGAGATTTGCACGCTACTTGATCTCCTGTAGATTGTTGTGTTGTCCAGGCTTCCCCAGCCTTACCTAAGGGCTGCACAACCTTTGATCCCTTGGATTGTTGTGTTGTCCAGGCTTCCCCAGCCTTACCTAAGGGCTGCACAACCTTTGATCCCTTGGATTGTTGTGTTGTCCAGGCTTCCCCAGCCTTACCTAAGGGCTGCACAACCTTTGATTCCTTGGTGGACGTGGTTTACGGAGGTCAATTTATCCACCTATTCCAGATCTAGGTCTCTGAGTGCTGGAGATGTCGTCTTGATTGCCTGAAATCTTCCTAGCCATTCATTGTACACTGGTGAAGACCTCCTTTACTTTTAGAGGTAGAAAAGCTAACATGACCTCCAGTATCTGACACCTTCAAAAACGATGTGCAACACCCTGATATATGCACTGATCTCTCCTACTGAAATTGTGATCTACTCTTGGATTGTTGTGTTGTCCAGGCTTCCCCAGCCTTACCTAAGGGCTGCACAACCGTTGAACCCTTGGTGGACGTGGTTTACAGAGGTCGATTTATCCACCTGTTCCAGATCCAGGTCTCTGAGCGCTGGAGATGTCGTCTTGATTGCCTGAAATCTTCCAGCCGTTCATTGTACTCTGGTGAAGACCTCCTTTACTTTTAGAGGTAGAAAAGCTAACATGACCTCCAGTATCTGACACCTTCAAAAACGATGTGCGACACCCTGATATATGCACTGATCTCCACCTGAATCACACACCTGCTGAGCGACATATCAGACTGGATGTCACTCCACTTCCTTAAACTGAACCTCTCCAAAACCGAGTTTCTTGTCTTCCCCCCACCCCGGACCAAACCCCCCATTGACTTCTCTATCACATCGAACAACGCCACCATCAAACCCGCCCCGCAGGCCAGAGTACTTGGTGTAATTCTGGACTCCAACCTATCCTTCCAGCCCCAAGTGCAATCTTTAACAAACTCGTGCAGACTCCACCACCGCAACATCGCCAAAATCCGCACGTTCCTAACTCCAGAAACCACTAAACAGCTCATCCACTCCCTCATCATATCACGACTCGACTACTGCAACTCCCTCCTCACTGGCCTGCCTCGCCGCTGGCTATCCCCGCTTCAGTCGATCCTGAATACGGCTGCCAGACTCATTCACCTTTCTAACCGCTCCGTCTCCGCCACCCCCCTCTGCCAATCCCTCCACTGGCTTCCGATTGCGCAACGGATCAAATTCAAAATCCTAACGCTGACGTACAAAGCTGTCCACCATACTGCCCCAAACTACATCACTGACCTAATATCCAAGTACTGCCCAGCACGCACACTCCGCTCCTCACAAGACCTCCTTCTCTCTAGTTCCCTGGTCTCCTCCTCCCATGCCCACCTCCAGGACTTCTCCAGGGTGTCACCCATCCTCTGGAACTCCCTGCCCCAACCCATCAGATTATCACCTACTCTTCTCTCCTTTAGGCACACCCTGAAAACCCATCTCTTCAGGGAAGCCTACCCCACCCCCTGCTAACTTGCCGACCTCCTCCACTCTTCCTACCACTCCATCCCCCACAGCTATCTCCTCCTGTGCCACCACCCACTCCCTCCTAGATTGTAAGCTCGAAAGAGCAGGGCCCTCGATCCCCTCATGTTTTGCATTGTATTGTTGTTGTTCTGTCACATGTTCTGTCCCCCTTTGTAATGTACAGCGCTGAGTGAACTATTGGCGCTTTATAAATACTGTATAATAATAATAATAATAATAATATCTCTCCTTCTGAAATTGCTTAGTTGCTTTGCTGATGACATGGCTTCAATAGTATCGGTCTAATTGACTTGGAACAAGTATGAAGATCTGGAATTCTGACCTTGCATTTTTTTTCCCCTAAAGTCAACGTACAGCTCTACACTATATGTTGGTGCTTTATAAACAAAGTCATAAGTGATGTCCTTTTATTGAAGATAGTTTTCAGTTCTGGCGGTGACCACAAGATGGCAGGATAAACTAAAAGGGTGGAATGCAAAAGAAAAAAAAGGAAGTGGAACACAATGGTAGGAAGTGAGGTGGCATGCAGGGGCAGGAAGTTCCGGGTGAGACAGGAAGTAGAGCAGAAGACATATTTGGTACTGGCGGCAGGTAATGATATTTAATATAGCTTCTCATTTCACATCTGTAGCTGCTTATTTCACAGGTGGAGCAGACCCTGCTGTTCTGTGACCAAAGGACCCCATGTAGGAGGAGGTGGAGACCATGGGGGTCAGCTGGCAGGTCACATGACACAGTCAGGGCAGAATTTTGGCTGCTGAAACCTTTTAATCTGGCTGCCTTGAGTGTCAAGGTATTACAGAGTTGCCCAGCTTTCCTAATTTCCAGCGATGGTTTCTAAGCACGTTGCCGTAAGCTTCTGTCCCATCGAACAATCCCGATTATCAGGACTCACCGAATGTATGATGCAATGCCTTCTTTTTTGAATGCTGATTCACAAAAGAATGCTATGATGCACGTTTAACGAGTTATCATTTTTTTTAGATATTACTGTAGGCGTATGTTCGTTAACTGGGTTAAAAAAAAAAAAGACCTCTGTTAAGTCCCCTTTAAATGGTTGCTCCACCCAAAAATCAAATTTCAGTTATAGGATGAATATGCTGGTACAGGTGATGTCTGGTCAGCTGAGCCATCTCCTAGCATGAATTCCACTTCTTCTCCAATAGCAAGATCTCCCTGTCTTAATTCCTGTTCTTCTCCACTTGGATGTTTTCGGTGTTCCTGCTCCTCTTCTTACATTCTAAATAATAAGGGACAATGGGTGAAAAATTCAGAGGGGGGTGATGGAAGTCCCTCATAATGGGGGAGTGTTTGGCTCCCTTAAGAAACACAGAGATGTCACCATAAGAGTCCCCGAGAAAAAGAAGAACTATCAGGAGGTTTAACTTTCCAGCATCCACCAGTAACTTCAAACCCAAAGCATTGGTACTCTCTTAGATAGGGTGGAGCTCACCCTCCATGATGAAATATCATTATTTAGGCCCCATAGTGTCCCACTGATGGGATGGAAAGTGGCACCGGGACATGGTTAAGGTTGAAAGCTGCTCCCTTCAAGAAAACCTGAGCTCTCGAAGACTGGTCTATCTGATGAAATGGAAAGTGGAACCATGACGTTGTTTGGGCCCCATAGTGTCCCACTGACGAAATGGAAAGTGGCAATAGGACATGGTTTAGGTTGACAGCTGCTCCCTTCAAGAAAACCTCAGCTCTCGAAGACTGGTCTATCTGATGAAATGGAAAGTGGAACCATGACGTTGTTTGGGCCCAATAGTGTCCCACTGACGAAATGGAAAGTGGCAATAGGACATGGTTTAGGTTGAAAGCTGCTCCCTTCAAGAAAACCTGAGCTCTCGAAGACTGGTCTATTTGATTAATTTTCCAGCATCCACCAATGACTCCAAACCCAAAGCACTGGTACTCTCTTAGACAGGGTGGACCTCACCCTCCATGATGAAATATCGTTGTTTGGGCCCATAGTGTCCCACTGAAGAGATGGAAAGTGGCACCGGGACATGGTTTAGGTTGAAAAGCTGCTCCCTTCAAGAAAACCTCAGCTCTCGAAGACTGGTCTAGCTGATGAAATGGAAAGTGGAACCTTGACGTTGTTTCAATTGAAAGCCTGTCAAGAAAACCGAGTTCTTGAAGATTAGTCTCCAAACACTTAAGTATGAGCTTTGAGTAATGGCTTAAAAAATAAGTGAGGTTCCTCTGTGGGGTTTCTGGACTTGCTTTCTGAGATAAGGTGAGGAATCTAGTCTGAGAATGTCTCTAAATACATCTAGGATCAAAGTACCACTTAAGACCATTTAGGCATCTCATTTAAATGTCTCCTTTAGCTGAAACGAGCAAACTGATATCATTTTAAAGGGTTTACTTCCCCCAGCTGGTTTGGGAACATCTCAGAATTCTCTAGGAAGAGCTGAAGTCTCAGCTGGAAAAAGGAAGCCTACCCCACCCAACTACAAAATCATTAACAAAGTTCTGACATTGACCATGAAAAAATAGTAAAGCAATATTGCTGTGTTTTTCTACCTAGTAGAAAACGTAGCATATGTGGAATATGTATAACAATATGGCTGCATCTATGGAAATAGAGCATTTCAAACCATGGCCAGAATTTATGACACATTAACACGAGGATCCTTGAGAAAAGAAAATATGAACTTTGGATGGAAAATATGCAATATGAGGTTTACAAATGAAATGCGTTCTAACATTTTGTTTTCTAATCAAATTTTGTGTTTTTTTTTAGATCTCTACAGATCGCTTGACCAAATCGGAAAGGATGGACGAAGACTGGAGTCACATGACTGAGAAAATTTTAAATCTCACCCTGGAGATCATCTACCTGCTGACTGGAGAGGTGAGGGGGATTCTGGGAGGTCACATTATATCACTCTAATCTCTATTAATAAAACACAGACCTGACTGGAGAGGTGAGGAAGATTCTGGGAGGTCACCTGACATCACTTTATCTCTATTAATAAAACACAGACCTGACCAGAGAGGTGAGGAGGATTCTGGGAGGTCACATGATATCACTCTAATCTCTATTAATAAAACACAGACCTGACTGGAGACGTGAGGAGGATTCTGGGAGGTCACATGACATCACTCCTATCTCTATTAATAAAACACAGACCTGACCAGAGAGGTGAGGAGGACTCTGGTCACATTTTATGTACTGTGCTAATTTTTCCCAACAGGATTATGAGGTAGTGAAGAAGACCGCTCGAAAACATATTACACACAGAGAAGGTCATCATTTATCAAAAGGATTTAACAGAAGCTTCACTACAATCATGTCACTGCCTTCATCCCTGATACCTGAAAAACACAACAATAAAAAGATTCTAGAAGTCACCAAGAAGATCATTGAGCTGCTGACAGGAGAGGTGAGCGATGCCGGGAATTCTGGGACATTCTCCAGTAACAGACAAGGGATGTGTCTGGATGGTGACTGTATCATTGTGTGTGTCAGGTTCCTATAAGGTGTCAGGATGTCACTGTCTATTTCTCCATGGAGGAGTGGGAGTATTTAGAAGGACACAAGGATCTCTACAAGGACGTCATGATGGAGGATCAGCCGACCCTCACATCACCGGGTAAGAGGAGACTTTATTATAGAGGACACACCTAGATTCCCTCCAGAAACAATGTACTCAGTCTGTGTGTGTGTTTCCTACACAGAGAAAAACACCAACAAAAAGCTCCAAAGAGTCCCCAGCAATTTGGCAAGTCAGCCACCCCGCACATCACAGGGTAAGAGGAGACTTTATCGTAAAGGAAAGAGCAATATGGAGGGTCCACCTTGATCAGGGGTGTCCAAACTATGGCCCTCCAGGTGTTGAGGAACTGCAAGTCCCATGAGGCCTTGTAAGACTCTTGACATCCACAGGCAAGACACCCAGAGGTCGAGGCATGATGAAACTTGTAGTACTTCAGCTGGAGGGCCATTGTTTGGACACCCCTGACCTAGATCCTCCATCATATGATAAACACATGGAAACAATGGATTCAGTCAGTGTGTGTGTTTCCTAAACAGAGGAAAACACCAACAAAAAGCTCCAAGGAGTCTCCAGCAATTTGACAAGCCAGCCGCCCCTCACATCACCAGGTAAAAGGAGACTTTATCATATAGGAGAGAGCAGTACGGAGGGTCCACCTAGATCCCCCATCATCTGATAAACACATATAAACAATGGATTCAGTCAGTGTGTGTGTTTCCTTCACAGAGAAGAACACCAACAAAAAGCTTCAAGGAGTCCCCAGCAATTTGGCGAGCCAGCCACCCCGCACATCACCAGGTAAGAGGAGACTTTATTGTAAAGGAGAGAGCAGTACGGAGGGTCCACCTAGATCCCCCATCATCTGATAAACACATAGAAACAATGGATTCAGTCAGTGTGTATGTTTCCTACAGATGGATCCAGTAATGGGAACCCACCAAAGAGGTGTCCCCATCATCTGATAAACACATAGAAACAATGTAATTATTCAGTGTTTGTGTTTCCTACACAGAAAAGAACACAGACAAAAAACTTCAAAGAATCCCCAGCAATTTGGCGAGCCAGCCACTGCGCACATCGCCAGGTAAGACGAGACTTTATCGCATAGGAGAGAGCAGTACGGAGGTCCACCTAGATCCCCCATCATCTGATAAACACATAGAAACAATGGATTCAGTCAATGTGTGTGTTTCCTACACAGAGAAGAACACCGACAAAAAACTTCAAAGAGTTCCCAGCAATTTGGCGAGCCAGCCACCCCGCACATCACCGGGTAAGAGGAGACTTTATCGTATAGGAGAGAGCAGTACGGAGGTCCACCTAGATCCCCCATCATCTGATAAACACATAGAAACAATGGATTCAGTCAGTGTGTGTGTTTCCTACACTGAGAAGAACACTGACAAAAAACTTCAAAGAATCCCCAGCAATTTGGCGAGCCAGCCGCCGCACACATCACCAGGTAAGAGGACCTTTTATCGTAGAGGATAGAGCAGTGTGCAGGTCCACCTAGATCCCCCATCATCTGATAAACACATAGAAACAATGGATTCAGTCAGTGTGTGTGTTTCCTACAGATGGATCCAGTAATGGGAACCCACCAGAGAGATGTCCTCTGTATGTCCAGGATTCCTCAAAGGAAGATCTCAGTCCCAGTCCGATATATTCCCGGGATTCCATGCAGGAAGATGGCAGTCCCAGTCCTCTGTGTTCACGGGATTCCACACAGGAGGACCACAGCACCCCAGACCATTTTTCGGTAGGTGGAACTGTGGGCTTCATTAAATACCAAAGTAAATCTTCGCACTGTAGGGAAGGTTATTGATGTTATTAACATCATATTCTTCTACTCTTCCCCCAGAAAGACATTAACTGTCACTTGTTGTGTGTCACCTAGCTTGAAAACCTGGCAAATATAAAAGTTGAAGAGATAGACGAAGAAGAAGAGATGCTTATTAGAAAGTACTGGCAACGTAAGGCAGAGGAAGGTCCCATAGAGATCGGAGCAGGTGGGTAATGGAGAGCTTTGGTTTCCATCTGGATCCATGTAGCACAGTTATGTTTTGTTCTGTGCTGTAGTTGTCCCATCCTTGTGTAGATCCTCTGACTTTTTTCCAAGGCTGGTTGTTGTCTCTCTACATTTTATTAACCACTTCATGTCCGGACACTTTCACCCCCTTCCAGTCCAGGCCAATTTTCAGCTTTCGGCGCTGTCACACTTTGAATGAGAATTGCGCAGTCATACAACACTGTACCCATATGAATTTTTTAGCATTTTTTTTATACAGATAAAACTTTATTTTGGTGGTATTTATTCACCACTGGGATTTTTTTTTATTGCTATGTAAATTAAAAAGTCCAAAAATTTTGAAAAAAAAAAGTGTTTTTCTTTTAAAATTTTGCAAATAAATAATCTTCATAAATCTTGGCCAAAATTTATTTGGTTATCTTTTTAGAAAAAAAAAATAACCCAAATTAGTTTATAACCAAAAATTATAATTTTTCAAACATGTTTTTACATTTTTATTTTATTTTTTTCATACTATTGTTTGTTTTTGTTTTTTACATACTGTCACCCTAGCAGTACAGTGTCACCATAGTGACACTGTACTACTTGTGGGGGGTGATAAAGATTTTTTTTTTTTTTTTCTTCACTCTGATTGTTTTTACACCCATAAAGGCTGTAACAGCAATCATTTCTCCTTCTCTCTGGCTGCATTCCTGCAGCCATTGAGAAATACTGTGAGAGCTGTGATTGGTCACAGCTTGTCCCATGGTACAAGGCTGTTGTGAATAGCCCTTTACCATGTGATCTCTGTGATCATTCACAGATTTCACGAGTAGTAAGCAATGATTTTAGAAGTGACATCTTGCTTACTACTATTCATGTGATCACTGATTTAGCCAATCAGGGATCACATGATTGGGACCTCACACAGAGGTCCCGTACAGCGATCGGCATCGGATTGTGGCGCTGCGCGCTCCAGGGCAGTGCGCACAGGCTGTAAATGCAGACACCATTTATAAATGGCAACCCGCTCCTGCACTGCCCCCGTCCTCTCTCAGTACGTTTGCTTGGTTTAGCATGGCCAAGAGTTCAAACCTCCGTTGTTGATTTTTTTTATCTCTGTAAAACTGTTGGGTGTGACACCTTGTGTATCATGGTGTGAGAGGGTGTCACCAGCCAGTGGAGTCCCTAGGCGAGTGACACCTATCGCACGGGGTGACACCAAACCCTCTCCACGAGCTCCACGAAAAGGAAAGTTTTAAAGCAAGCCGACGATCCCCACAAGATGGATCGGATCTGTGGATTGAGCATAATGGATCCATTATGCTCCCCAATCCGCAGATCCGATCCATCTTGCTGGGATCGTCGGCTTGTAACCTATACGGGGTTAACTGATCTAGGCTGTGCAAGATCCGGGACTTATCTGTAACCAGGAAATGCGCCGCGATAGCAAGAACCTCCTCCATCTGACATCACTTCTCGAGCACTGGGCAGACTGGACCGGTGTTGAAAGATCAGTTAACCCCCGTATAGGTTGCAAGCCGACGATCCCCGCAAGATGGATCGGATCTGCGGATTGAGCATAATGGATCGGAGATCAATCCATTATGCTCCCCAATCCACAGATCCGATCCATCTCGTCAGCTTGCAACCTATACAGGGTTAACTGATCTAGGTAAGGCTGTGCAAGATACTGGACTTGGTGTCACCTGGTGCGGTAACACTTGGTGTCACCCCTTCAACAATCCCTGCAGGATGGATCGGATCTGCGGATTGGGGAGCATAATGGATCGGAGTCTGATCCATTATGCTCCCCAATCCACAGATCCGATCCATCTTGCGGCGATTGTCAGCTTGCAACCTATACGGGGCTAACTGATCTAGGTAAGGCTGTGCAAGATCTGGGACTTGGTGTCACCCGGTGCGGTAACACTTGGTGTCACCCCTCCGACGATCCCCACAAGATGGATCGGATCTGTGGATTGAGCATAATGGATTGGAGTCCGATCCATTATGCTCCCCAATCCGCAGATCCGATCCATCTTGCGGGGATCGGTGGTTTGCAACCTATATGGGGTTAACTAATCTAGGTAAGGCTGTGCAAGATCCAGGACTTGGTGTCACCCGGTGCGGTAACAATTGGTGTCACCCCTCCGATGATCCCCACAAGATGGATCGGATCTGTGGATTGAGCATAATGGATCAGAGTCCGATCCATTATGCTCCCCAATCTGCAGATCCGATCCATCTTGCGGGGATCGTCAGCTTGCAACCTATATGGGGTTAACTGATCTAGGTAAAGCTTTGCAAGATTCGGGACTTGGTGTCACCTGCTGCGGTAGCACTTGGGTGTCACCCCTCCGACAATCCCTGCAAGGTGGATCATATCTGCGGATTGGGAAGCATAATGGATCGGACTCAGATCCATTATGCTCAATCCGCAGATCCAATCCATCCTGTGGGGATCGTCAGAGGGGTGACACCAAGTGTTACCGCACCGGGCGACACCAACCCTAGGGACGCCCCTGTCACCGGCACAGAAAATAAGGGGTGATCTGTGGATTGGGGAGCATAACGGATCGGACTCCGATCCATTATGCTCAATCCGCAGATCCGATCCATCCTGCGGGGATCGTCGGAGGGGGTGACACCAAATGTTACTTCACCGGGTGACACCAACCCTAGGGACGCTTCTGTCACCGCCACAGGAAATAAGGGGTGATCTACGAAACAGAAACACAGGTACCATAAGAAAAAAAATCTGACCTTCTCACTCTGCTCAGAAAATAACGAAATAAAAAATATTGGAAAAGATGGTCCTCTAATGAAGGGGGAACCAGGATACCCTTCTTAAAGTCAAACATTGGGAGATTTTCTCTGAGTCATTGACGTTTACGTGGCCTGTTTGCAAGAGTGAGTTGTGGTTGCGAAGTTTAGTAAGTGGTACCATGTTAGCATGATGCTTTGATCAACCAAACCAACAAGTCTCTTCAAAAAACTAGCAGGTCTTCTGAATATACCTTTTTGTTTCCTTGGCAGATGGTCACATGAGGAAAATGGCAGAGAAACATTTACTTTTATCTGCCGACTGTCATGTAAAAGATGAAGAGTTTTCACAAGATTCTCTAGAAGAACTCCCTGATACCCCAAATACTTTTGGAGGACATCCCAACAGATCCCCAGATCTCTCTCACCCTGGGGAAGCTTCTCCCTCTAATTTAGATAATACTTTGAGCATGGCTCAGAGAGGCAGCAAAATGTTTCCCTGTTCCGTGTGCGGGAAATGGTTTACCACTTATGGAGGCCTTCTCATGCACCAGAGACTTCACACCGGGATCAAGCCTTTCTCCTGTTCCTTCTGTGGGAAAAGCTTCACGCAGAAAGGCATTCTGGTCAACCACGAGAAGATCCACCGAGGGATAAAGCCATTTCCTTGCTCGGTGTGCGGGAAGTGTTTCGCCAAGAAGTCCGACGTGGTAAGGCATCTGAGAGTCCACACTGGAGAGAAACCCTTCCCATGTGCACGTTGCGGGAGGTGTTTCTCCCAAAAGTCCTCTCTCCTCAATCACCTTCGGCTGTACATCTGCGAGAAGCCATATCCGTGTTTTATATGCGGGAAACGATTCTCCCAGAGATCGGACCTTAGTAGACATCAGGAGATTCACCGAAGGAAGAAGGCATCTCCGTGGTCGGAATGATAGGAGCTTTGGTGCCCACCACTGTTCCTGCATTTTTTCTTTCCGAAAAAGGACAAGGGATTGTCTTCTAATGCAAGATGTTGGCCATTGTAGCAAGGACTAGGCTATTTTTATGCCCTAAAAGCAGATGTTTTTTCGGACAACTCAAAATTTTGTAAAAAGTTAGGGAACACTCCATTATCTATATAGGAAACGTATGTCACACTTACATGTAACAACGACTCACACAATGAAGAAGAGGAGCAAAGGAGTCCCAACTGCCAGTCACCTCTAGCAGTTTCAATACCTGTTTAACATCAAACAGCAGAATGTTTTTTAATTTTTTGGGGTGTTTTTTTTTGAGTAAGAAAGGGTCTGAAAAGCTTGGGGCAGGAGCGGACTCGCAACTCATGGGGCCCCCCAGCAATAGGTGATCATGGGACCCCTGTGTCCTTGCCCACACCCAAAAAAAGCCTATGAAAAAGCCAATTAAAGGTACCAGGGGCATCTCATGGTTCCCCCTACTGACCCCGGGGGCCCTTGGGCAGTGCCCGAGTACCCAAATGGTCAGTCCGCCCCTGGCTCGGGGGTATTATTTTTGCTGGTATCCTCGTTAGTAAGATCACCTGGTGTGATGAGCACATGGGAAGTGAAGGGCCAAAAAAGCCCAGACAGAAGCATCATTCCTTCCCTAGTTCATTAAAAAAAAAACATCTTGGACTGAGTTGGGATTTTTGGGAAACCTGCAAGGAAATCTTTCTTTCTTCAGAAAGCCCAACCCCACTATGCCAGGGTTTCTCGACCTTAGTGAGACAAACCCTTTATTGCTTCAACACATTGAGAAATTTATAAAATAGAAGCATGGGAATGCAAAATATGTGTTAAAGAGAGAGTAATCAGACAAAAATATGAATATTAGTTTAAATAGACACAACAAAAATTATTTAAATCTAATTGTTGGTATAAATGGGATAGTGGCCCCCAGGAGAGACCCCCTTCCCCCAAATCATTGGTGATAGCAGGATAGTGGCCAGCAGGGAAGAAAAAAACTGCCCAAACATGTTGTTGGTGTCAGTGGGTTGGTAAATCCTAGGAAGAAAAAAAACCCTCAAATGATTGGTGTCAGTGGAATAGTTGCCCCCTGGAGAGAATAGATCCTTAAATCATTGGAGTCAGTGGGATAGTTGCCCCCTGGGGAGAATAGATCCCTAAATCATTGGAGTCAGTGGGATAGTTGCCTCCTGGGGAGAATAGATCCCTAAATCATTGGAGTCAGTGGGATAGTTGCCTCCTGGGGAGAATACATCCCTAAATCATTGGAGTCAGTGGGATAGTTGCCCCCTGGGGAGAATAGATCCCTACATCATTAGAGTTGATGGGATAGTGAACCCCAGAAAAAAAAAGTCCTTTAAAATAAGTGGTTTCAGTGGCATAGTTGCCCCGTGGGGATAATAGTCCCTCAAATCATTGGTGTCACTGGGGAAGAACAGCTCCCTGAATCTTTGGGGTTAGTGGGATAGTTGCCCCCTGGGGTGAATGACCCCTCAAATCATTTGGGTGATTGGAAAAGTGGGTCCCATTGGAGAATGACCACCCAAATCAGTGGTGTCAGTAGGATAGTTGCCCCCTGGGAATAGTAGCCAGCAGGGAAGAAAAACTGCCCAAACAAATTGTTGGTGTCAGTGGGTTGGTAAACCCTAGGAAGAAAAAAACCCCTCAAATCATTGGTGTCAGTGGGATAGTTGCCCCCTGGGGAGAATAGATCCCTAAATCATTGGAGTCGGTGGGATAGTGAACCCCAGAAAAAAAAGTCCTTTAAAATAATTGGTTTCAGTGGCATAGTTGCCCCCTGGGGCAATAGTCCCTCAAATCATTGACGTCAATGCAATAGTGACCACCAGGGAAGAACAGCTCCCTGAATCATTGGGGTCAGTGGGATAGTTGTCCCCTGGGGAGAATGACCCCTCAAACCATTTGGGTGAGTGGAAAAATGGGTCCCATGGGAGAATCAGTGGTGTCAGTAGGATAGTTGCCCCCTGGGGGGAATAGATCCCTAAATCATTGGGGTCAGTGGGATAGTGAACCGAACAAAAACCCTTTGGAATCTTTGGTTTCAGTGGCATAGTTGCCACTGGTGACAATAACCCCTCGAATCATTGGTGAAAAAAAAAGGTCGTTAAAATAATTGGTTTCAGGGACAAAAGTCCCTCAAATCATTGGTATGAATGCAATAGTGACCACCAGGGAAGAACAGCTCCCCTAAATCATTGGGGTCAGTGGGATAGTGGATGGAAAAAAAAAACCCTTTAGAATCTTTGGTTTCAATGGCATAGCTGCCCCTGGGGACAATAGCCCCTCGAATCATTGGTGTCAGTGGAGTAGTAGCCACCAGGGAAGAATAGCACCCCTAAATCATTGGGGTCAGTGAGATAGTGAACCCCAGAAAAAAAAGTCCTTCAAATCATTGGTTCCAGTGGCATACTTGCTCCCGGGGTAGAATTGTGCCTCAAATAATTGGTGTCAGTGGAAAAGATGGCACCATGGGAGAATGGCCACCCAAATCATTGGTGTCAGTGAAACAGTGGGCCCCAGGGATTGGTCCTCAAATCATTGGTGTCAGTGGTGGTACCTTTGGCTAGCAACCAGCACTGCCCACAGAGGAAGACCTAAAATCCTGCACACTGTCCACCAGTGCCTCATCCTTTGAGTGAGACAGCACAGTGGTGCCAAAACTCTTTCACATCTTTTGGCTACAGATCAATCCACCCATGGAGTAATTGCAGTTTTCTTTTGTGATATGTTGGGTGGAACCCACCTGAGAATCCCCCAGCAGGCCAGTCCAAGCCTGGCTTGACAGCAGTAGCTGTCAGTACAGTGAGGAAGCTGCGGCCTGGCAGTTGACAACCATGGTCATGGACCATGCCCATTCTTGTACCAAGCAGTTAGATTACCTGATTAACCCTAAACCTCTACTGGGTAGTCTAGAGGACCCTAAGGAGACACTGACATGGACACTAATGTTTAACATAAACCTAAAGGACATAGGCCATTACAGCAGCACATGGTCAAAGCCAGATAGAATATTGGTATTGAAATGTAGTGGTACCATAGATGTTTTTCTAACTGGAGAATAACCTGCATTATCTATCTTGGGTTGACAGGAACTTTGGTAGTTATGGCTAAAACAAATTTGATGATAAGATATAGATGACCTGCTGAGAAGCTTCTTCAAGCAGTTGGATCTACCATGGTCAGGGACCACTGGCCTTAAATACGAGAGAAGAGTTCATACACTGGAAAAGCTGTAATGTGTTCTGTATGTCAGAGACTGTCAATAAAGTATAATCGGATTGTTTGGTTTATCGTTTGCTCTTGCTGTTACTTTTGTCCTTTTTTAGTGCAACCTTTTTCGAGAGTGAAATTAGTAGGCAGCTGGGATGTGAATTTCTTGATGTAGGAAAGAGTTGGTCTTGTCAGTAAAGTAAGACAGAGGAGAGGAGGCCATGTACCTTGAGTCCAGTCGAGAGGAGGCCATGTGCCTTGAGTCCAGTCAAGAGGAGGCCATGTGCCTTGACTCCAGTCAAGAGGGAGGCCATGTACCTTGAGTCCAGTTGAGAGGAGGCCATGTACCTGAGTCCAGTCGAGAGGAGGCCATGTACCTTGAGTCCAGTTTGAGAGGAGGCCATGTACCTTCAAGAGGAGGCCATGTTGCCTTGAGTCCAGTCAAGAGGAGGCCATGTACCTTGAGTCCAGTTGAGAGGAGGCCATGTACCTTGAGTCCTTGAGAGGAGGCCATGTACCCAGTTGAGAGGAGGCCATGTACCTTGAGTCCAGTTGAGAGGAGGCCATGAACCTTGAGTCCAGTCGAGAGGAGGCCATGTGCCTTGAGTCCAGTCGAGAGGAGGCCATGTGCCTTGAGTCCAGGCCAGAGGAGGCCATGTACCTTGAGTCCAGTCAGAGACAACTGTCCAGGATGAAGATCTATACACTGGAGGAACAGTAGCACATTTTGTCAGCTGTCTCCACCTGGCCTGGCAATCTGCTTCTCCATGTAAACCATGCTTGGTCCCACGTCCACACCTGAGCAATGCTTGTATTCCTCCCAGGCCCCAGTTCCTAGTAATCCCCAGTAATTCTTGTTCCGAGTTATTAGCGATCGCCAGCGACCCTTGTCCCATAGAGTATTTCTTCTTCTTAGTGACCCCCAGCATCTTCCAGAGACATTTGCACCCTTGTCTTCCTGCGATCCCAGCACCCCAGTGCTCCAAGAGACTCTTGGACTCCCTCGATAAATCTAGATAAAGGGAGCAGGACTTGTGCAAAACAACCTGTCCAACGGTTTTACTGGTACCACATCCTCTATTGACATGACACTGAAATATAGCCCCATTTTCTACGTGAGGAAAAACTACTAGGATTTTCAAGGTACCACACCAGATGTAAAAAGTTCATAAATTTTATTATACAAAAGTAGTAAAATTAAAAGAAAAACATTGAGATATTGTTAAAAACAACACAGTCATATAATATGCCAGCCATTCACATTTGCATCCCACAATAGTCATAGGGAAAAAAAAAATTTAGTCAATCCGACGCGTTTTCGCAGGACAATCCTGCTTCTTCAGGGAGATCTGGCATATATTTTTCTAAGATTACAAAAAGAAGCCAATATAAAGAGCCACAAATACCATACAGATTGGGGGACCTGGGTCATTCCAAGAAATGATTGAGATCCAATATTCTCATGCATCAGAAGGCAGACCAGTGCCCTAAAAGGTAATAATCAGCAAATGGTAAAATAGAATAATATAAGCCATATATTCCACATATTTTAGATGCTACCCCCACTTATCAAAAAAAACCCAAAGAGGTAGAGATATATAGTGGAATAATACCCCTATAGGCAAGGCAAGTTATTACCTATTGGTCGAGGGAATTTCAAACTACACTCCAGAGATATTTGCACTCCTGCCTTCCTGTGATCCCAGAACCCCAGTGCTCCCAAAAACTCTTGTACACC